GGAAGGAGAAAGGGCGGTGCCTCTGAAGGGCCCTGGTCGAAGCACTTGGGTCACGGTCACCATGCCAACCCACAGGGAGTAGTGCACGCATGCGAAGGCTGCTGTCCTGTTTGGCACTTGCTGCGCTGATAGAAGTTCCTCCGGGTGTGCCAGCCCATGACAGACACTTACCAGACCGTCTATAAACATTTCTGGTTGGGAGTTCATTGTGAATCTGGCTGTGATCGTCGTCCTGACTACGACGTTAAATAATTCCTGCAGAGATGGGGGCGCTCTATAAATACCTCCTGATCAGCCAGATCACATGGACAGGAAGGCTCGTCGCCGTACGAGGGTAAATAAGAGTGGTTGGGCTGGCTTGCTCGGTGACAACTTGGGCACAGGGGTGGGCCGAAATACACAACAATACCCATCAATCATAGCCACCTGTTCAATGATGTTGTTCGGATGGTTGGATTGAGGGGAGGGTACGTTCCAATTGGTGCTCAACTGTATACACAACAATACCCATCAATCATACATCTGTTACATTGTCTTTTTGTACCTTTGATTAGTTGGTTGACGGACTGCTAACCTCACAGACAGATTAGTGTGGGACTGTTGTATGCTACCATAGCCAGTTCTAACTAATGCTGCTGTGAGTGAACCAATCAGGGTGCATCTAGACTATGTAGACGATCTGTGTGAATGTTGTAGACATGCCACTTGATTCGATATAGTAGGGGACTCGCCGGACACAACTATATATAGAAAATTTTGTGCCGGTCAGATACATGCTGCGGTAGGATTCCACTAGGGGATTCTAGTGTAGACACTATCTGCCTATCTAATGAGTGGGTCAGATCCTGGTGATGATAGAGCTGACAGAAGGAGACTTACACATTCGGAAGCATTAAGGGTTTCGCACGTGTTCAGGACCTTAGACGAGGGAGAAGAAAGACGGCTCCGTGCCGAACGTAGAGTCCGTGCTCTAGCAGCAGGGATAGCCGCAGCAAACGCAGCAGCTAGAGAGCAGGCAACAACAGCCAGAGCAGCAGCAATGGCTAACGGCGCAAGCTCTGCTGCGTCATCGTCTGCGTCCTCGTCAGGGACTAGTGGGACTCATTTGGGAATGCCACCGAGTTCCACAGGTTCCTTGGGCACTTCCGGTTCAACAGGTTCTAGATAGTCTTCTAGTCAAATGGCAGGCTCGCAGTTCAGCCCCATGACCGCACGTGAGCGGGGCTCAGAGAGATTCAACAGGTCGAGAGGCTCCGCCAGCAGTTAGAAGAGGATCTGAAGAAAGCAACCGATAGAGAAAAAGAGATAAAAAGTAGAGCGGCCAGACTTGATACGTTAGAGGCTGACAAGGCTGCGTTAGAGGGATTGGACGAAGCGAGTTTGACTGACACCCTGAAAGTGTTGAGGGACAACATGTTGTCACTGCATGCGCACGTAGACAGCAGGATGGACTTCATGCAAAGCACTTTGGACCAGATCCTGGATGCATTAACAAAGCCAGGATTCCGGCCACCAGCACAATCGTCGTTGCCGTTAACGGCAATGTCAGGTCCCTTTGCCGTACAAGCTGGCACACAACCAAGTGGTACATCTGCAGCAGTCGCACAGACTGTTGCATCTTCTTCTTCGGGTCCTGCGATGGTTGCTACACCACCGCAACAGGCTAGTCCTCCACAAGGACAGCCGCAAGGTCAATGGTACCCTAAAACCCCAATGAAACCGCCTCTTGCCTTCTCAGGCGAGAGAAAGGACGAAGAACTCAACACATGGTTGAGGACAGTCCCGGTTTGGGTGAAGGCCAAAAGGACCTCGCCAGAGGATGAGGTGGTAACTACGGCATCTTACCTAGAGGGTAAAGCAACCAAATGGCTAGATGGGGTAGTTGTGAAAGCTGGGTGCGGGCGACGCATGGCGGACTGGGCCAAGTCTTTGACTCTAGACCAGTTCATGGAAATGGTAGAAGCTCGATGGCATAACCCACAGGAGGCGCACAGGGTCACTGATGCCATAAATAAACTTGACCAACGTAAGTTCCGGTCAGTTAGAGAGCTTACGACTACCGTTGAGGGCCTGATCCTCGTCTCGGGCATCAACTACAGTGACCAGTTCCTGTTACCAACTTTTGTTAGATGTCTTCCAGAGAACATCAGGAACTTGCTGGCCAGTGAGGCACGTACCGAGTACCACACGTTTGAGACATTGTCTAGGAAAGCCTTAGATTTAGAGGCCACCCTAGGCAATGCTCAACCTACCTCAGGGAACGACTCAAAGAAGAAGAAGAGTCCCCAGGAGTGGAAAAAGAAGGGGGCAAAGTTGATGATGGTTGAGTCCGATGAGACTCAAACTGAGATCGACGAACTCTCTGACTTAATGGACTACTCAGAGTATGACGCGAGGAGGTAGCTGAGGGTAGCACTCTCGCCGCGGTTGTAAAGACTAAGGCAGGTGGCCGAGGGAAGGGCCAACCTAGGAGTCAAGGGAAGGCCGCCTCCAATCTGACCACACAGGCCGAGTGGGTGAAGGCAGGTCTTGATCAAGATGTGTGGCGTGACCGCCGATCGCGTGGCGCTTGTATCAACTGCGGGGAGTACAGACACACGCAGTGGAAGTGTCAGAACGCTAAGGTTACGCAAAAGATTGCTCCAAAGATGGGGGCATCTTATTCCCCCGCTTCTAGCTCGGGAAACGCGTAGGGCCAGTGGAAGTAGTAGTGGCTTCTACTCAAGATGAAGTGGGTATGATACCCTCCTCACTTCATGACAAGGCTGAAGCTAATGACTCCTTAGTCACCCCGCAGATGCATCTAGACCAAACTATGCTCTGTACGTTAGATGTGTCTAAGGCCGTAGAAGACTTAGAAGGCGAGTGGTCAAGCAAGGACCCTCGCGAGTCTTGGGTGGCGCTAAATAAGGGTCCTAGAGGGGAACATTTCGTGGTGGAAGTGGATGTAGGAGGCCGCAAATGTGGAGCCTTCATAGACAACGGATCCACGCAAAATTACATAAGTCGCGATTGTTTCGAAAGGCTGCACCTACAAGACCGGGTACGACACCTTAGTAGACCAGTAGCATCTACTTTGGCCAACAAAGAGCGCATGATTGTCACAGACTACATCAAGGACGTAGTCTGTACCTTCTCCTATGGAGGAGGAGAGCTTAACCATAAGATCTCGTTCTTGGTTAGCGACGACTTGCCATTCGAAATGTTGTTAGGCATGTACTACCTCGAAGTTGCTAAGCCCCAGTTCGACTTGGATAAGAAGGTGCTCAAGCATAAGTTGCCCGATGGCCGAACTGTCAGATTGACCAAGTTCAAGGCCAGCAGTACTGTAGATACCTATGGCTGCTTGTGTGCATCAGCGTTCTACAACTATTACAAGCAAAACGAAGAGGAGGGTATGTACCTTGTTTATGTCTCTGAGAAGGGGGAGGCCGTTAAAACACCCCCAGAGATATGACGCGTCGTTGCTAGGTTCCCTGATTTGTTCGAGGAGCCCTCAGGAGTTGTTGATAGGGAAGTCGTCCACGCTATAGAAATCATTCCAGGGAGTAAGACCCCAAAGGGAAGGAT